AGAATATGACTTGTGGCATCTAGACATATGCCTTGATAGGTGCATGTGGCATGTGAGTTCCCAAACTCAGAAGAAGTAACTGGTGAAACAGGGATGTGTTCATTCTCAGAACTACAAGCAAAGGCATCTCAACAGAGCTCTCAGGAGTGGGGTTACAGCTCAGCTGCATGACAGAGACGAAAGCAAACAGACACACCCAGCAAGTTCTAGAGGATCTACTTGGAGTGTGAGACAAAAGGTCTTCTTGTTCAAAATCAGGGCAGAGGAGCAATCCCAGGGACTGTCCCAAGGGGAGCCTATCCTGGGGTCAGAGGCCAGGAATGCTGAGCCTGTGACCAGGAGACAGTGATGCGTCTGCATGTTAGCAGCTGTAACACGGTGGTGAGCCATCCACTGTGACTCTGCCAAGCCAGGAAGCTGGCTTCCAGAAAGTTCCCTGGCTGAGGTTCCCAGCCATCTTCTGTTATTATTATTATTACTATATCTTGCCTGGATCATATCTTGATTAAAATAATTAATGACAGGCTATCATTTATGTCTCAGTATTTCTTTTAATAGACGCATTTTCTAGACAAACATACTTGGAAAAGTCAAAACCAGCTGTTACTAAGTCTAGCAGGGCAGGAACAAGATGAAGAGGATCAGTCTCTTACAGCAAAGCCGATTTATTGATAAAAGTCCTCATAGAGTGTGTGGGAACCATCCCACCATTATCCCACAGAGGTTGTTAGTGCCTGTGTGTGTGACCATCAAGCGACAGGAGGTTAGAGTGTGGGTGCTCAGCCATGGGCCCGTGACACAAGTGTGCATGCCTGAGCTTCACCCAGGGCGCTGTGGAGCCAGGAGGTTTAACACACATGGGCATGCCTGGGATGGTTTCGTTCAGGGGTACTGTGCTGCTTTTAGGTCATTTCTAATCAGGTCGGTATAGCGGGCCTGCCAGAAAGGCCTGCCTGTTTTCATGGCTGGAACATCAGAAGGGCACGTCTGCTTAGACCGGCTCCCCTGCCCAGCCTGGAGAGGCACTGAGTAAAAGGCTCAGTGTGTGTAGTCCATGGTCAGGAAAGCTGGGCTTGTCTGCAGCAACTACTCAGATTCGGCATCCGCAGGCAGGCCATCTGCTGTGGGTGTTGGCACCTGCGTGACCTGAGAAGCCAGAACTGACAGGTCAGAAAATTAGAAAACATTACACTGCCAAGTCCACGTCCTAACCTCACCTTAGAATGAATTGAGCTTATTTATTTTATTTTACTTAAAAAAAATACATTTATTGTATTCTAATAGGGCTCAGTTAATAAACCTACCAAATTAGAAAGACCATTTTCTCAGATGAAAAGCAAATGCTTTGAAACATTTTTAATAATAAAACTTAGCTCTATTAGAATATTCAGAGAATCATGAATATGGATATTTGAACTAAAACTTTCAGAGCCTCACCTCTGGGCACATTTATAACATCTTTAGAAGCAATAAAACACAAGGTTCATCCTAACTACAGTAGTCACAAAAGATTGAAAAGGCAACTGGCGAGAATATAGAAATTCCATCTTTTGCAACAAAGAAACAATCTGCTTACTAAGTATGATCTTACCTTTAATGTTTAGGGAAACAAAATATTTGCTCTGAGCCGGGCTTGGTGGCTCAACCTGTAATCCCGCGCCTTTGGGAGACTGAGGTGAGTGTATTGCCTGAGCCCGCGGGTTCGAGATCCGCCTGGGCGGTGAGACCTCATCTCTACAATAAATCAAAAAATCAGCCGGGTGTGGTAGCGCGCACCTGTAATTCC